TTGATCCTGTTTAAAGAAGTCAGAAATTTAAATGATTTACCTGCTTTCTTCCAGCAGCAGCTACTCACTAAATCCAAACCAAAATAGCTTAACAGCTTCTGAATGTGTTTATCTCAGCTAATTTACTCTTTGTGGGGTGGAGATATTGCCTAGGTGTAATTACAAACCCTCTGTATCTGAAGCTAAGAATTTCCTTCAAGTGGTAGACACAAATAATTTTGGTTTTAATTTAGTACCATTTATTATGGAAAAAGACTTTGCAACATACCTGTTCTGTCTAGTAACATCTGTAAGGGATTAATCAGATTAAAAAAAATCCCACATCACTTTATCATTTTCATCTCTGAGGCAGTTTAATACACTTAACTTTTCCAAAAATGTGCTCATTTTGGTCCTGATTCAAGAAATATCCATCATTAGGACAGCAGAGGGACCCAAAAGTGCATCAGTTGCAGTTTAAGTGTCTGCTTGAAATTCTGCTCATGTTCCTCCACTAAACTGATGCAGCTTTCACTGCTCACGAATGTCACATGCACCCCTGTATGTCATGAAATGTGAATCGAACATAGAAAATTGGATAAACAATCGTAAGTTTTGCCAAGTACAATTCTAGAGCCACCTCACCTTGCCCTAGGAACCAGGGTGTCTTAGAAAGTTTTACTAGAATTTGTTAAATTTACAATAGTCTTACTGGGTCACCATTAGTTTTTCAAGTATGACCCAAACTGGGGGGGAAACACCTGAGGGGTAAATTTGGGTGTTCACCAGTGGAGCTCTTGGCTTGAAGCTCATCCATCATGCACAAAGCTCCTCCAGCCCCTGAGTCATTCCCATGCCACAGCTCAGTGCCTGCCATGGAGCTGGAGCCCACTGGGCCAATGAAACAAGATTCAAAGATACAACACACCCAGTCCAAGGAACTTTTAAGAAGTGAGGGGAAAAAATGATAGAGCACTGGAAAAAACAAAGCTGGGAAGGAGGGTTTTACCCACAGTTTTACTACAAGAACATGCTCAGAAGCAGAACTGTTGAACGAGCTCAGTACTGACACCCCTTTTTTTTTTTTTTTTTTTTTTTTCCATCTGTGAATATTTTCCTCCAATGTGAAACAATTTAAGCAAGTTTATTGACCAGGCTGTGAACCATCATTCATGCCCAGCTGTCTGGCCCTCACTCTGTGCTCTGGGAGGAACGTGACAGATCCAGCTCAAAATCCAGGGGTTGATCTTGCAGCAAGTAGAACAGGCTGGAGAGGAAAAGCCCAATCAGATCTGGAGGTTGAGAGAATTGACTCAGGAATTTACAGTAAACTCTGACTTCTTTGATGCCCTGGTCCTGAGTTTGACCTGCTTTCCTCTCAGGAGCAGCACAAATTGTGAAGAACAAGGCTGCCACTGTTGAATACCAAATGCTTTAACACCGCAGATATTTAGCACTAAAAATCTGATGCAATCTTAGTGTTTCAAAACACCAAAGTCAAACTCTTCTGGGGTGTTGCAGGGAGAGGAGGGGACATCACTGAGCAGCAGTGACCATGCAGGCTCTGCTCCAGGTCGCCCAGTCCCCTTCCACACAGGAGCTGCAGCCAAACCTGGCCCCTGCTGTGATAAATGATAAAAGCTGCTCTTTTCTGATACATAAACACCTTGACAAATGGTGGGGTGTGAGCAGAGTGGGTGTGCAATTCCAACAAGGCAGTTTAAAGGAATGAAAAAGCAACGCAACAAAAACTTCCAGGGGGTGTTAATGATGCACTTTTTACTGTGCCCAGCACCCCAGTGCAGTGCTCTGAGCATTATGCAATTTGAGAACAATCTCCCTTTGACTCGTACCCATTCTCAACAGAAAATAAATTGGTGGGAAAACCATTTGCCAGGAGAGACACAGAAATTAATGGCATGGCATTGTATGTGACTGTGTGTGGCAAGGACACAGGCCAAGCTCGGCACGGACTCCTGAGAGCTAAATGAGCATCCAAGTGCCCAAAGCAGCATCAAAGGATCTCCAGAGATGAGCAAACTTCCTAAATAAGCATAAATAATGAAGCTCAGGGCTCCATGAGAAAGCTCATCAGTATATAAATAGTTCATTTTGAAGTTCTCTATTATAAAACACTATCAGAAAAGGGCTGATGCATGAATGAGATTGAGGCCCTGAGTGATTATCAGTGATCCAAAGGATAATGGGGGATGATAGATATGGGCTGGGAAATGCATGTCTAAAGTGGTGTGGTGCAGCAGATAAAACCAGGAGAGTCAAACTCAGCACTGTGAGCCCTCAGAGCTGTTTTTCAGCATTTTTAGGAAAACCTAACCATAGCTGTTCACCTGCCATCACGAGGCAGTTCTTGCTGAATCTTTGGGGCTGCTCTATCTAAAGCATGTCCTTGCAGAGCCCATTCAAAGCAGAGGTATCAGCACCAGCCCTGCTGACAAGATATTGCCAATATTGCTCACACAGGAAAGTTGTAATGCCTGCAAGATGTCCCTTGTCTTCTCCAGGATCGAGCAGTATTTTTATCATCTACTGCTGTTATTCTCTTCCTCAGCATTTTCTTTTCACTGAAATTGTTCTCTGTGAATCCCCCTCAGCCAAAGCACTTCACCAGGCACCCTTTGTTGTGTGCAGCAGTTGCTAATATCCACCAGTACCTGCCACAGCTGCTGTGGGACAACAGCGAAATGTGCAAGGATTCTGCCTCTTCATCCAGCATTTCTTGTTTTAAGCAGCTTTAATGAATCAGGAGAACTGTGTGCTTTTCTTTACCCTCTGAAATACAGTTTTTACCTGGCCTTTGTCTAATTGGGGGCAAGTATTCAGCACTTCTCACATCAGCCTTAAATACATCTGAACAGACAGAGTGGAAAATTGTCTTAAACCCTTTGGCATCCACTTGCTGTCAGTTGAATGTCAAGTCAGGAATAAAAATTGGCAACTATCTGTAGATTTCACAGTCATGCAGCAGGATTTGTGGGGCCAAATTTGCAGTTCAGTTGTCATTCCATGCACCTCCAGTGATGAGCATTCATGCCACAGCGAGGCATTGGAGTTGTCAGATATCCAGGGCTTACTGAAATAACTTCATTTTGAAATGGACTGTCTCTTCTGGTCTGAATAATCAGACAGAACAACATACAAAATGTTTGACGTGTACTGGGAACCTGAGACAGTCTCTGACACATGAAAATATTTGGAATAGTTCAGACTCCATTTAATGCTTCTCCAGAGTTTTGCAGAATGGTAAATTATGAGCTCTGTAATTAAGTTGTACGCTCCCTCTCTTTAATTATACTTTAATACTGTTTCTTTTAATAGAGATAGTGAAAGCCATTAATCAAATACTTCTCAGGCACCTCAATATCATCTAAAAGGAAACTAAATATTAGCAGGGAATAAACCTTTAAACTTTGCTGTTCATAGTTATTCTCCAGGCTTAACTACATTTTGGAAATACAAGTAGGTCAATTCTGCCTTCTCTATTGGAGAAACAAAAAATCAGCACAGGTGTTTTCCTCTGCATTTATGAGCAATAAATACATTGTTGTGGGGCTAAATTACCCATTTATCCTTGCAGTTACTGTGGAGTTTGGCACAGCCACATTTTGGGTATAGCCCAGAGCAGCCCTGCAGTGTAGGCAGGAGCTGCTCTGTGTGACCCACTCCCATCTTCCTGAGCACCTCCAATTCTGTTATTGCAGTTATTAGCCCTTCCTATTCTCTTTAGTGCTATTCCCTTTAGCTTCTGCCTGTGGACTTTTCTATGAAGGTGCTGAACTCTTTTCTGAACCTGCTGATGCCACCTGCCTCCACAACCAACCATTGCAACAAAATCCAGATTTATTCCTGCTGCTTTCACCATTCTAACCCACTCTCCCATCAGTGCCCCCTGATTCTTGTAGTCATTTGAACATCAGGCTTGTGCTTGCCTTATCCACAGCTTCACGATTTTAAAAATCTCAGCCAAGTAAATCCCAGCAGCATTTTTAGAAGATAACTAAATCAAACAGCAAAACTAGTCTTTAAACAGAAAATATGGTAAGGGAAATAATATTAGTCATAAAAGACATAACAACTTGCCAGCAGGAGCTCTGTGTTACCATCACTTTGAGATCAACACTTGCATGTTCCAGCTCAGCTTATAAAATATTTGGAAGGGGAGTGCACATCACCTTCAGATCAGTGAATGCTCTCAAATTCTGGGACAAAACCCCCATGTCACTGAAATAAAGTCAAGATTGATTTTTTAAAGTTTCCTTGTATAAAGCAAAAGAAATGAGTATTGCTCATTCCCTGTAACCTGTTTGTAGGCCAACTTTGAGAAAAAAAATAGAGGCACATGTTTAAATACATTCCCTTGGTTTGGATTTCTCTCTCTGCCCAGCACAAACTCAACAGCTGATTTAATTGCAATGCCTTGACTTCTTTCCACTGTTCAAAGTCAAAGGAATTCCAGTGCACCATACACCAGTCCCACGTTCCATGATCTCTGCTGCTGCAGCTTTTCCAGGAAAGGATCACTGTTGTAAGCTCAGGAATTCTCCCTGTGCTGTCTGTACAGGGGTCAGGCAGCTCCTTGATCAGAAATCAGCTCTAGGAGACAAAACTGCAGCTCTTCACCCTCCATGCTTACCTAAAGCACCACTTTTATGCATCAGGTTTCTGGTTTGCTCTGTCAAAGGCAGCTGGGGTTGGCACTAAAGCACACAGAGCCCTGAACAAGGACCTGGATGTTTTCTGACAGGTCACTGAGCCGGAGCCTCGTGTGCTCAGCCCAGCAGCTCATTTGTGCCTGCTGTCCTGACAGCCTGACATGTGCTGTCAGGGCTCCTTTCCTGGCCAGCCTGGTGCTGCACCACTTCCCTAATCCACAGAGGCACATACCAGGTTCTTATTCACCTCCTGATGCAAACCCAGTGTCTCTGATCCCCCCCGAATTATTATTGATGGTTCCTCTGTTATGCAAGCTAAATACTGAAGGCAGCACAGGACACAAAGTATGAAAAAAGGTATTTATTATTTACACAACTGCTATAGTTCCTTAAGAACAATATATACCATTTTTTATTTGAAAGGGTCAGTCTTCTTTCAAATCCATGAACTGCATAATGCACAAGTGTTGGAAATGCCAAACAGCAGTCACATCACACTTCTATAGTGCAGGCATAAGCAGCGCAAGTAAATGATATTTTAAGAACAGTATGGCTGAATATTGTATTTAAACACAGTGTTTGCACTTTGACAAGATTTAGCTAGAAGAGAACAAGGGTTTTGTTCATGCTTTGTTAGGAATGTGACTTTCCCATCTGAGGTTTAAACCCTTTATCTGAGATATGGGGATTTTTCAGGCAGACTGCTTTTCACTGGTCAAATAACAGTGGGTTTCTCTCCCTCAAACTTCAATCTTTTGTTTTCCAGTAAACACTGCTTTATAGTACAAGTTCACACACTGGGGTAAACTGGCCACAGAGGTGGTACTTTCCCATCTTACTGTCTTGCACAGAGAAACACTGACATACTAATACATACCAAACTTAGACAACTTGTAATTTATAGACTTAAATACTGGAATGGGAGAGGGAGACTGTTTCTAAAGATGGAGGGAATAGAGGACTTATACAATTCACACACTGCCAAGGCTGGCTTTTTAATCAACATTTTTGGTCTAAATATTTTTTTTCTAGTCTCAGAATGGTTTTGGTCTTTGATGGTTATGGTTATACTTCAGCAGCAAAGGAGAGGAAAGTATTTTGAGAAGTAACACCAGAACTGAATGCAAGAAAAAGCAACTGACTTGTTTCTCCCACTTTGAGCTTATTGCTGTGATCTTTTAAAAAACCCACAACCAACCAGCTGGAAGACCAAGTTTAGCAGTCGTTCTGGCATTGGGTCCAGTGTCCAGCACTATTATACTCTAGCACAAAAGCAAGGAAAAGTCCAATGATCTTAGTGATGTTCCCTTCAATTCAGTGCCACACAGTTTTATTATTGTTATTGTCCTTGCTTCTTTGAAAGATACCTGAAAGAAACAAAAGTAGAGTTTTTCACCAAGTAAGAGGTGGCCACAAATATACCTGAGATCTTAAGATCAAAGTATGACTCTGCTTTCTTTTCTCACCAACAATCCTCCTACTGATAACCAAAAAATTAGAAATGCAATCAATACCACTTATGATTTTTATTTAATTTCAACATCTTTCAATTCTACGATAGGTTATCTTGCGGTAATTCAAAGTCATGTTTTAGTTAGACTCTATCAGACTTTTTAAACAAAAGGGAGGAAGGAAATGGAAACCTGTTTCATTCTAAGAGGATGGAAAATTACATCAGTTGGAGAAGTGGCTTTTATATCCTTTAAGATGAAAAGGCCCATTAGTAATGGCACTCCTTCAAATAAATTCAGGACTTTAATGGACTGATGCAGCATAACCTGAAAAGAACAGCCCTCCAGCAGCTTCTCTGGAGAGTCTGAGTGACTCCAAACTGCTTGTATTCTGATCTCACACCTCTCTTAGCACCAGAGCTGCAGCAATCTGCCTGTGTGATGTGAAAAGGCTTTGCAAATACTCTAGGAGAAAGAATCAAACCAATTTCACTGACAGTGTGAAATATCCAGTGAATTTCACTGCTTTTAAAGTTTAACATTTCACTTTCCGTTCTATTCAGAAAAGAAAATTTGTACCAAGCCTGTAATGCTCTATTTTTTAAACACCAAAGCAGTGGTTTTTCAACAGTTTTTCTTCACATGCATTGAAACCTCTGGCTGTTGCATAAAACTAAGGATAATTTTGCTGAAGCCCTTCAGTTAATCACTTCCTAGCAAGAAGGAATTAGGATGCTAACTGGTGCCCTGAGCACTTGGAAAACTCTTTGTAAGACAGTTACTTGGAGCTGTTGAATCCTGCAATACCACCCAACCTGGATGTGCCTAAGAACTACACTAACACAACAAAGCTTTCAAGGCTGGAAAAGTTGCCTTAAAGGATTTGGGATCTGAACCCACAATCTAACTTTGCTGGGGTGGAAAGAAAGAGGTTTCCAGGGACCATGTTCCTTCAAAATTCTTTTCCTTTTAGGATGCATAATTGCATTATTGGCAGTGCTGGGTACTGGAGAAGTAGGAAAACACAGATGCATTCTGTCAAAATCTTGTCATTTTAGGGAAGCTGACCCAACACTAGAGCCCTATTAAAATTCTCCTCAAACTAAAGGACCTTTATAACTGTAAGTTATAAAGTTCATCAGTTCCATGTAGGGTCAGGGACAAAAGGAAGCAAGAATTTTGCCTTTTTTCTTACCTTTCCCAATGTTTGTGATTCAGCTCCAAAAAGTCATCTAATTTTGCTATTTCTTTGAGGTATTGGGTGAGCTTTAGAAGCTCCTTGTCTTTATCCCGATTTAAATGTGCTTTCATAAAAGGCCTTATCTGTACAAAAGAAAGAAACTGGGTATAACCATTTGCTCACAGAAAGAAAAAAAGCTTTAGATTCTCTATCATTTACCATCTGACTAAAATATATTTTCAGTACTATGACAAGTTACAACTTTTCACAGGTAAGAGGAAAAAAAAACCTTCTCCAGCAGTGGTCAGATCCAATTTGTCCTGTTCATGCAAACTGGACTGAGGGGTTTTTACCTTGCACCAACCAGAAAAAAATTCTTTTCTCTTGCAATTCTTCAAGCCTTTCCCTCCCCACCACAGACAGACTGATAAAATGATCTGGAATGGACTGCCACATTTTCTAATGGATTTCACAGAGGTTTTTGCAGGAGGGGTTTTCAGCTCAGCGTTCTGTGTGGTATCATTGGAACCAGATGCTTTTTTTCAGCAAAAAGCCCTTGACTACAACCAGAGCTGCTGTGAAAAGAGGTATCAGAAGCAAAGCTTGGAATACATTACACCTGGGCCTTGTTTTAGTGATTCAGTGCTCTTGTCTGCAGCTGTTAACAATACTTTGACAAACATTTTTCCAATCTGAGCTAGAGGGACCTCTCTGGATAATCCCCTCCCAGCAAGATCTTTGCTATTCCTGATTCTCCTTCCAGTTAAGATAATCTTGCTAGATCTCATCAACTGCTCTCCTCTTCACGTCATGGATACTTTCAAAGAGATACCATCTTGAACTTCTGCATTTGAAAACACCTTTTTCTTTTTTCGAGAGATTGATGCGAGTTCTTTTAGTACAACACTGTTCTACCATCACATGTATGTAGAAATTTAAGCTGCATTCTTATTTGGAACCAGCAGTAATAACAGAGCACACACTGGTTGACAGTTGTATAAAATGAAATATTTGCTGTTCTATAGTCAAAATGGCTCAAGGTACTAATTATTTCTCGTATAGAATACTTGTGATTATCCTGTCATGCTATCATGAAGTACAGCCATTTGTTGTTTGACTTATTTTTGAATATGACCACTATGGAGATTGAACATCACATTTTCAATGGTGCCTGTCAGCAATGCCCAGGCTGATTACAGCTTGCAGGTGTAACTCAGGCAGAAATAACAATTTCATTGAGTTTGGTAATCTCTTAAACACTCACTTAATAGTGACACAACGTTTATTTAATACTACTATTAAGGAAATACTAAACCAGACAAATGGCACTGTGAGTTAAAAGGTTTAACAAAACATGAATTTTTGCTAGTTAAGAATAGTCTTTCTTTATGCTACAGCAAAGAAGTAGGAGAAAGTACTACTTGAAGTATCAAGAAAAAGTAGCAGTAAATGAAAATTCCAGTTTCCATTACCTTGAGTCCGTTCTGTGGGTTCATCAGGAAGTTTCGGCCAATATCATCAAACATAATAGTATTTTTTTTGCTGTAATATTCTGAAAACTTTCCCCAGATAACACCAAGAGGCTTCACCTGCAAACACAACACAATACAAGGTACCTGAGGTAAATGAGATCACGTGCAGGAGATGAAAATGCCATCTATAGGAACCTGAGTCCTAACCTGAATGAACACTTGTATTCCTTTGCTTTACCATTAGCAGGTAGTTTGGCTTTAACAAAGGAAGATGTGAAATAATGTAACATAAATACCCCCCACACTAAGGAAAACCTTTCTGTTGGCACTAACTTTTCTTGCAACAGTTACCTACTGTTTGATTTGAAAGCTGTGACTTCTAAAGATACCACTCAAAACATTAATAGACCTTCAGTAGAAAAAAATCTGTGGTTCCAAGATTCTTGCAGTTTTATTGCATGAAAACCCTCAAACAACTTTTCTTGTTGAGTATTTTAAAGGGGTGTGACAAAATGCCAGCTGAATGTAGAAAAAGATTAGGAGAAAAATTGGTACTTACATCTATGAGTCCTCTCCGAGGAGTGTGCACTGTTATCATGGCAGCACTATCCAGCATGAAAGTGATCTTGTAGTTTGCATTGGTACTCACCCCAAGCTCCTGCATCACAAAGATTTATGATTAAAGCTTCTAATTATGACAGTTTTACTGCTCAACAACTGGAACCACAATTATAGTACATTGTTTGTCACGGGGTGAGCTGTGGAGGTTTACCAGAGACACACTAAAAATAGATACCTGGGGAAATTTGCATTTGTTACATAATGAGGATCATAAAAGTGCACACAGGGATTTATTTTTAGTGTTTAATATCAGGAACTTAACAGCTGATGCTGGCAGAAAATCAAAGCAACTTTGCAGAGAAGGCAAAATGCAGAGAGGTTTTGCTCATACCTTAATGCACAACCTCTCACAAGTTCTCCACACCTCAACTTAACTTTACAATTGTGTTCTGGCTGCTCTTTGTTCCTCACAGTGATCTGCACAAATCACAGCCTAATCCAAGATGGAATACCCAGGAACATCTCTCTGTCACTGTTCCCTCCTGCACATGTCCAAGATAACCAATGTAAGTGTCAACTTGCACTTTTAAGATTTGGTAACTCCTGAAATATTCTAAGTAAAATAACCTTTTTAGAAATAAAAAACTTAAGACTAGATAAGGGAGCATAATTTCCATTTCAGATCCTTTCCAAAGCTGAAAAGTACCAGTAAAATCTGCTGACTTGGTACAACACAGATATTGCTGACAATTTCTGGTGTGTGAAACAGCAGCAATATGCAAATCTGAGTAACAGTGAGAAAATACCCACTGCAGCAGCTCTCTTGCAACTATCCAGCCACACTTACCTGATTTGCTTTTATTTAAAAAAGCAATCTTGCAAATGAAATGCTCTTCCTACCTGGGTCAGTATCCTGTTACACTGACAGAACCAGCTGTTCAAGAATGTTTGAATTTCAGGCATAAAAGGGTGGTAACTGAGAGATTAAATCTGCTTGTCTGATACTCTCTTCTTTTAAATGCTGTTCCTGCTTTGTACTTGAAACCAGAAACTTTAATGCCAGCTATTTCTGAAATCACAGCTCCCTGACCAAAAGTGAAACCCTGGGAGGTAAGTACCCCTGGTGCCATCAGTTTAAGGAGAAACAGAAAGTGGCATCTAGTGGTGGGAATCTCAGTGGATCAGGGTCCAGGAGGAAGGATGGAAAAACAACTTGGAAATGCAGAAAGATGACCAGTGCAGGGGAAAAAGCCCAGTTTTGAACAAAAACCCTTGGTTTTCCACAAGATTGAGTCCTAGCACTGCTGTGACAACACAATATAAATATGTGACACTACCACAAGAATGCAATGTTTGCAAGGCTCAGCACTGATTTTACTTGCACTAACTCTACTACATAGTTCTGACTAAAGATTATCATTTCTAAGAGGCATTTTTGTTCAGAAAAAATTGTAGCAATTAATTATTTTGAGAAAGAGAACGCTGGAAAAATGTGTTTTGCTCTGTGAAAACCTGAAAAAATAGTCCATAATAAAAGCTTAAATTTGGAAAGGTTTTTCCTGGAATGGAAATAACTTTTGATTTATAAACACAAAAAACCCCTAACCCACCAACCAAATACACAGCAATTCTTAGTAAGCTCATTAGATTTAAAGCTGACTGTAAATATGTTTACCACGAGGTCAGCTGTTCAAAACTGGCTTCCTGCCTGATTCCAGTAGGGAAGAAACCAGAAAGTGAAAGAGCTCTTATGGGATGTTTAATAAGGCAGAGGAAGCAACAGAACCCCCAGCTGCAAGAGGTAAAGATAAATATGAGAAGAGTTTCCTCTTGCTAACCTACTCCAGCATGTCACATCTGTCTGTTCCTTTAAAAAAATCACATTTCAAGACTGGAGCTCTATAATTAGAGGTAAGATGAAAGCAACTGTGCAGGGCTGCGTGACAAATCCAAGTTTCAGCAGGTACTGACTTGTGTTTAGTTCTGCTAAATTTAGCACCTACTGCTGATAGTTTGTGTGGAATTCTAAAATTAGATTTAATCTAGTTCTGTGATAAAGATCATTTCAAGTGACTGTGGAAATTGAAACAACTCAGTTATGATTCATACAACCTCCCCTGTTTCTAACCTGCTCTACAACGCTGAGCATGAGCACAACTGCATGAAGGGTTACCCAGACCAGAAACAAATCACACGTTTTCAGAACAACTTACTTTCATTTTGGCTTCAATCCACTTCATATTAGTAGCAGCTGAAACAAAAGGGAAAAAACAGAAATAATACTTTATCAAAATAAGTCATTGGCAGGCAAAAAAAAAAAAAAACCAAAAAAAAACCACTGCTAGGAACTTGTTCACTTAATATGTCAATTTTTTACACAAAATTTAATTTTAGAAAGATCCACCTTTGCTGCAGCTTTTAGGGCCTTAAAGAAAGTCTCCCTTCATGGAAGTCTATTTTTATTTGGAAAAGCTTACTTTTCAAATGAACAACTAGATGAAGCACTGCAAATATTTAAACCATTTTCTAGATCAGCTGTTACTGAACCACAGTCTGTATGACCATGGATACACCTGGCTTGAGGAACCCCACTGCCTGTGCAGGATTTCCTCCTGGAAACAATGATAGGAATACATAAAATCTGGAAAGGACAAAGTGTCAACATTGCTTGCTGATTGAAGAATATGGAGAAACATTGTTCAAGATTATGAAAATAGAATTTTGTTATGGTTTGAATTTTAATATGGTTTGAACCCTGCATTGGCTAAAGTCTGCTCTCCAGCTGTTGGACAGGAATTGAACTAGAATGCAAAGGCAAAGGATCAACCAAGCACCCCTGCAGACAGGAGAGTTTGAGTCATTAGGCAATTCACTATGTGCTGTCTGCACTGAGATTATTTGTAAAATCACTATCAAACAGTGTTCTAATGTTGATTATACATCTCTGTTCCAAGCACTTCTTTGTACAAAGAAACACTCAGTGAAGTGATGCTGAGCTTTATCCTGTGACTAGACCCATTCCTGTGAGCAGTATGTCGGGCTTTTCACATAAGAATTGGTATTTTTCTGAAATACCTCTAATAGTTGTGCAAATTACAGCCAAATGTTTCTGTATCACTTTCGATCTTGTGACTCATACTAAAAAGCAATATAAAAGCCTCCCACCTGGAGTCTCTGCTCTGGATGACAATTTACAATAAATTCTTAGGCATAGAGTATAATACTTACACCAAATTACAATGTCATAGTCCTCATATGCAGAAGTCAGGAATTCATGAAGGTATGGCCTCATCAGCTCTACCCCAGTTTCAGCACATGACCTGTGGTCTAAACAGAATATAACAGCTAAGCAATTCAGTATTAGAGTATTAGATATTAAAGTTCAGTCTGATTTTCCTTTCTATCCACAGACTCAAAGAGTTTCATGAGGGGAGCACTGAAGCATTTTAAGGTCATGAATGATTTGATATCAAACTCCCATTCCCATTTTAAAGGTGGAAAGACAAAGCAGAGGGAATATTTACCTGTTGGTCTCACAACTACTTGAGGGCTTAGCAATAATTAAATCAAGAGGTCTCTGAGTATGAATATCTTTGAAGAGCCAGGGAAAATCATCTGTGCACTTAGCAAATTGGTAACTAGCCAGATAGGAAACAGATTCTTTCAAGCCTAGTGCAGTTAATTGTGTGAACATATATCAAGCTCATTTCAGAGATGCAAACATTCCTGCTCCAATTCCAAAACTGCTGCAAAATCTGTCAGCAGAAGACCTCTCAATAGAAAGTTTAAACTTGGAGATAGGTTGAATTTTGATGTCAGATTGGAAACAAATGCCATCAAAAAGGAAAGCTAAGGAAAGGCATAAGGGAAGGTATTATTTACTGCTCACAGTCATGCTGCCATGGCATACCTACAAACCAGAAACTTAAGTTAGAAGGAAAAATCTGGCTTTCAAAAAAAACCAGCTTGACAGAATTTTCAAGAAAAACGTGTTTTTGTGAATGTTTAGTAATGATATGTAAATAAAATTTGAAGCTGTTCTCCCACACCCCCCAAAAGTAGAGTCAATCAGGTACAGAATGGGATCATTATTTTACAATATCTTGCCCTGCTACTGTGATGGTCAAGATACAAGTTATCAAGGGAAAGACTATCAGGACAAAAGACTAAATTGTTGCTTTTTATGTCTTTTTGCAGCAATTAAATAGTTGCTGCACTAAAACCAACAACATGCAACATTTTAACATGCTTTTTAAAATTCGAGCAGAAGCAGAATTTTCTCATACAAAGCAGAAGTTATGTTGTAAAACACAGCAAAGCAAAAATCAAGAAACCTGATCTGGCAAATAAATCAAACTCTTAAACAAAGAAAACCCACAAATTGCATAAAAACTCACCAAATAGTGTATAATCAACATCTAGCACCAGCAGCTTTTTTCCTTCTCTAGGGGGATTCAGAATTTCCACCTTGTATTCTTTAACTCTACGGGAAATTTTTAGTAGATTTTCTTCCCTGATGTAACAGTGCAAAAAGTTACAGTTAATTAAAATGTACACTCTACAGTCAATAACAAACTGTTTTAACAGCTTAAACTCCTAACCTATTTTCTACTTCCACAACTTCCTCTTCAATGTCAAAGTCATTGACCACATCATCATTATCTGGAGGTGGCCCAAGGACATCTTCCTGGAGGAATGAAAATAATACAAGATAACAAGGATCAGAGAGGGAAAATAACAATGGATACAGGGCAGGAGTACTGTTTAACCAAAATTGTTTCACTTTACTAGTGGAAAAAATTACTAAAGTATACTGATGATTGTTCAGGTTTAAAAAGTTAGTGAGTATCACAATAATAGGTTTGTACTTCAAGTGCAGAACACCACAGGAATTTCATGAGTACACTGCTCTAAGAGTTCTGCAGCAAAATTTATTTTATATTAAAAAACACCAACAGAAATCTATTGTACTATCATTTTTTAAAATGATAACTGGAAAATTCAAAATTTAAAATCACAATTAGAAGAAACTGAGCATCTTTTGCTGTTTAAGCTAATAAACAAGCAAATTATTTACCAAACTCTCTTCACGAGTGCCCATCATCATTATCTTAGTATTTGGTTTCAACTTGAGGGCTCCAAGCTTAACATCATCATCTGCAGGTTTGCCTGTAATGCAGATTTTTTTTTTTAAATTGAGGTAGAGATTTTAGAAAAATGTCAATACATTCCATGTGTAATTGAAATAAGCTCCCTGTAAAATACCAGCTACACCAAGCGGTGTTATCATCATCTTCCACATACAGTTCTTGGTTTTGGCTGGGATTGAGTTGATTTTCTTCTTGGCAACTGGTGCAGTGCTGGGTTTTGGGTTTAATTTGAGAATTATGTTGATGGCACACCAATGGTTTAGCTGGTGCCAAGCAGTGCTTGCTCTAAACCAAGGACTTTTCAGTTTCCTGTGCTCTGACAGTGAGCAGGTGCACAAGGAGCTGGGGGAACTGGGCACAGGGATATTCCACAGCACAGCACCTCATGGCCAGGGCATAAACAGGGGGGAATTGGCTGGGAGACACGGACTGCTGCTCAGGGACTGGATGGGCATTGCTCAGTGGGTGGTGAGCAACTGCATTGTGGCACTGCTTTCTCTTGGGTTTTGTGCCTGTTTCTCCTCTTTTCATTACTATTACTATAATAATTAGTATAATATTTTATTATCTTTCAGTCACTGAACTCTTCTTATCTCAACCCATGAGGTTTACTTTTTTTTGTTCTCAATTCTCCTCCCCACTAGGACAGGGCAGTGTGAACCACTAAAAAATGACCAGATAGATGTATTCATAATAAACAATATCCAGTGATGTGTGAAGTGTCTGTATTCATGCTCATTCCAGAGCTACAGCTGGGAAGTGGATGCTCTGTTAGTGCACACATCCTGCCTAGGATTAGGGGATGTTTGTCCTTAAACACCTCAGGCACATCCCCAACAAGCAGTAAATAAGGACAGTTACCCTTCATTTTAAGCCCAAGAAGTTTCTGACGCTCTGGTAACACTCCAGTGAGGCCCTTCAGAGACTGTTTCAGGTCCAACACTGTGTCTTCTTCTGACAGCGAGGTTATTGTGTACTCCTGTCCACCCCATTTTATTATGAGAGAGAGAGACATCCTTGAAGCATATGTTCAGTGTTACTGTCTGAAAAATCTGCTGCAGGAGGGAAACACAAAGATCACGTAAGGAAGAAAGAGGAGAACTACTCTTTCCAGAAGACAAACCACAACATCTACTTAAAGCATTCTTGATTCTTTATTATATTGGACATCAAAGAGCTGTTTGTTTCCCCTGAGCAGATGATAAACGTGTTGAGAAAGTGCTGAAACAAAGGGAGAAAGAACAGTGTTAAAACTGGGGCTTTGAGTTCCACTCTGATGTTTTTAGCAATGTCACATTCACATCTGCTGGGTGCTCTGTGCAGGTACAGCCTGTGCACTGCACACTCGAGCAGAGCACTGCAGCACCACAAAAGCCATTGCAAAGCTCAGAAATGTCCTCTGCAACACTTATGCAACCAAACCAGCCATGGGTGCCTTTACAGATGCAATAACACAACAGCAAATATGAAATCCCTAGCAGATATGAGCACATAAAAATAGTTCTCGGCCCAACAGTCCATTTTTGGCACTGGATTTCTCTAATCCCTTCCACTGTGCAATACCTGCACTAATGCACACCCCAGGTCACATCTCACTGTAGCAATATCAAAGCAGGAATTTGAAAACAAAGCCAAAACACACACCCACACAATGCAATTACACTCAAAGAACTGCATTTTCATGGCAGTGCTGACAAAATAACCATAATTATACTATCTTTAATTTACACAGCATCGTTTATACAAATTGTATTTAACAGTTTAGTCCTACATCAAACACAGCAGAAAAACAAGATTTTTAGCTTAATGCAAAGGAAGAATATGTTTTTTTCTCTGTTAGGGCTTAGAAATAGAATCAAGGAGATAGAAAGGTATGAAAAGGCTGCTACAGACAGTCAGGGGATGCAGAGAAGGCCTCTGCACCACTGATGGTGAAATTGTCCTCAAATGACTGATATTCAAAAAGAGAGCAGATCTGTGAAAAATCTAGGGTTATCAACCTTCAAGAAATGCAGGTCTAGCAATTCTAAAAAAATCTCAGAACCCAAAACTCTGATCCTTCTTCCTCTCTGGCTTTGTATTCTCAGAAATTACCCACACTCAGAAAAAAATCTTTCTCTTTTACACAGTAAAGGCTACGGGGAAGAAACCTGCAATTGCTCAGGCATAGCCACCAAGCTCAGAGCAGATGAGAATTAGTCTAGGTACAACCTCCTTGCTAAGGACACTACAAACCTCACCTCCACACTACTGCTTCTGAGAGCCATGAAAACAAATTGAAGAGGAAAACTTGTATCACTGGGAAATGAATTTATTTTTTCCCCCCAAAACTGTCAAATCAGACAGACTGGGACCTGGTATGACACGGTGAAAAAGACTCATGAAAAAGAGGTCTTAGAAGCACAATGAAATTCTACTGAGGCTAAGTCTGTATGGTGTCATTATCATAAATTATTCCCATCCATAATCCTTAGACCAAGTCAGAAAGGAGAGTTTATTGTCTGTTTCCTTACCTGTACCATACACCTTAAATCATTCTGCAAGGACATGCACAGGGCAAGAACTGTAAGAAAACTTCTGCAGTCTCTGTCCAGCGCTAAACTGAAAAGATCATCCCTCCAAAGCTGAGCACCTGACCAGCCCTCGATCCTCACAGATCTATAGCGACAAATGCTACAGGAAATAAGACACTTTTATTCCCTGCCAAAACACTCAGGGGTCCAAATCAAGGAAAATGGGAAAATGGTTTGGGAGCAGAAAAAGACACAGGGATTTCCAAGGGTTCCACCATCGGAGCTGGGTGCTGTGTAGAACTGAAGCTAATTTTGCTTCCTTTGGTTAATTTCATCTTCAAAGCCTTTACAAGACCCTTGGGCCACCAAGACCCAACGGGTTGGAAACCCACGGGTCAGAGAAAGCCTTCCAGTTCTGCTGTCACATTGCAGCACTACACCACTGTCCTTGGAGGACTCTGAAGACAAGCATCCACATCTCTGAGCTCCGCTAAGCAACACAAACCCAAACCCCCTGAAACACCCCAAGTGCCCGCGGAGCGCTCGGGGCCGCGCTTCCCACAGCGCCCTAACAGTTGTGCGACGGGCTTTGGGGCCGCCAGCTGCTCGGTGTCAGCGGGGCTCTCCCGCCCCGCCGAGGCTGCCCCGGCACCGGGCAGCGCCGAGCCCCGCGGGGGATGCTGCGGGTCTGGCCCGGGCGGGGAGCGGGAGCTCCGCGGGGCTGCTCCCGGCGGTCACGCAGCAGAGCGGGACGGAGCGCCGCGGAGCCCTCGCCCCCTCAGAGCCGGCCTGAGGCAGAGCTGCGCCGCGGCCCCGGGGAGGCCGGAGAGGCGACTTGCACGGGCAGCTGCTGGCATGAGTGTGGCTTACACTGCCAGCTGTGAAAGGAGTTTATTGTCTGTTTCCTTTTGTTTATTCATATTGTTCTGTGCCCAGGGATCACGCCTGAGACCCTGCAGAGCTGCTTCCAGTTCTGGGGTAGAAAGGACATGGAGCTGCTGGAGCGAGCGCAGAGGAGGCACCAGGATGATCAGAGGGATGGAGCAGCTCTGCTGGGAGGAAAGGCTGGGACAGCTGGGATTGTTCACCTGCAGAAGGGAAGGTTTCAGGGCCATCTAATTGCAGCTTTCCAGGACCTGAAGGGAGATGACAAGGAAGATGGAGAGAGGCTCTTTACGGTGGCCTGGAGTGACAGGACAAGGGAGATCAGTTTCAAATTGTAAGAGAGTGGGTTTAGATTGGATATTAGCAAGAAATTATTTTCTGTGAGGGTGGTGAGGCCCTGGAACAGGTTTTCCAGAGAAGTTGTGTCTATCCCATCCCTGGAAGTGTCCAGGGCCAGGTTGGATGGAGCTCTGAGCAGCCTGGTCCAGGGGAAGGTGTTTTCCCACATCTGAGGGTTTGGAAGGAAATTACTCTGAAGGTCCTTCCCAACCCAAACCATTCTGTGATTCTGTGACTCAAAACTCTCTTTGCTCTAAAACTGACTCTTTACAGGCACGTTGTGGTGTCTGTTGACACTTTTTGACTCCTGTTGGGATTCTTGGGAACTGCCTTCAGCTGCAGTGGTTCTGTGCTTAGGCAAGAGATGTAGAAGGAAAAAATAGACTTTGCCACAAAATGAACTTTTTCACTTGGTGGTTCTGCTTTGCAGAAACAGTTTAAAGGGAAGAGCATTATTCTGTGGGAAAGTGTGGTTCCTTATGTGAAATCACGTGGAGATGACAGAAACTGGTTCAGCTTGGTGTCAGTAGAGGTGGTGTTAAATTTGAGGAAGGAAGTGATGGTTTCAGTCCTCCATTACCTTATGTCTTGCAGTGTTGAGATGGTAGATAATTTTTTCCTGTTTAACTTGGTAATAAGTAGGGAATGGAACAAAAGAGCAGAGGTAAACAGCTATACACTGAGTAGAAGTTTCTTCAGAGTGGCTGCTGGAACTTGCAGGAGCCATTCCTGCTGTAAGGGAATCTCAGTAGAGAAGGGCAGTATAACCAGAAACTCTGTAGAAGCCTGATCTCCTTGCTGAGAGGACATTCATTTAATTTCCTCGCTGGATATGTACTTTCAGTTTGTTCTGTATTCAAGTTTTATGTAAAAACACCACTTTTGTTTCTAGAAGAGTGGTACAAATGGGAAACTATTGTAACAACTGTTCTTGTCAAGTTTAGTTTCTGACTGCACCTAAATCCACATAAAACCAGTCACTCTGCTTGTGTCCCAGTCACCAAGGGTTTGCTTTTTGCTGGAATGACACACAGTTGTCCTCTGCACAGAGGCAGCATGTTACAGTAGTGCTGGAATGCTTCCAAAGCTGCAACTGGTAATTAAAGTCACACCCTGTCATGAAAATATGCACCCTCCAGGCCTGCTTAAAATTCAGGCTACAAAAATGACATCCAGTGTGATCACCTCTGTATTTGCAATTTTGTTAAAAATATATTTTGTTCTTTTCTGGTTTGGCCTTTAGAAAGCTCTCTTGAAAAGGAGGCAGTAGGGTTTTGGGTTTTGTTTTGTTTTTTCTTTGAGGAGTGATATGAAAAAGTATAAGAATGCATATTTAATTTCTGGTCTGATGCTGATGTTTTGGTATCCTTGAAAGATGCTCTGATCCTGACAAGATTCACGTGGTGCAGATAAATACATAATTTTATTTAGCTGTGAAACACATGGTGGTGCTCAATCCTAATGTTACTAAATGCAAAGTGGTAATTGGACTAAAACCATGTAATTACAATTCAAAGTCCAAACAGCACAATCTTTTTACTGAGGAAAATGTTTCATGGTGGGGCTCTCTGGGTTTGCACTGTGGTAAATTAGCAGGGCAAGGAGGAAGGAAGAGCAGTGGGAAAATTTGAAAGCAAATGCACGTTCTCTTTCACCTTGATGTGCACTGCCACATCCTGGGATGCTCCAGGGTGAAATAAAAAGTGGCTGCATGTCAGATTGATGCCTGCTGGCTCCCTTCCCGTGCCTCGTGTTCACATCATGCATTTCTGATCCTTTTGTGCAACATGCTCCTGTGCATAAGTACTGAAGCCCAGGAGCTCATCTCCTAAATTGCTGTTCATGCTGTATATAAGGGAGCAAAATTCCCACTAGCAGCTCTGGGAGATGCTGGGTAAGAGTCCTTTCAAATCATCATTTAAAGCTGAAAACTGTGGAAACCTCAAAAGGTTGCTTTGAGAATTAAGAGATTAGATCACGTCTCTGTGATTAGAAGGAGTTGGAAAGCAAAAGGTGATGACATTGCAGGGCTGAGAGGTGCTAAATATTTGTTTATTCAGTGACTTTAATGGAGGAGAGTCAGTGGAGATGTTAATGTGCTGTTAATTTGAAGGGGCCAAGAGCACAGACTTCAAGATCTTAAAAGTTTTGTTTTGTTTTCCAAATTTCTTTTTGGTTCAGAAAACTCACTTGAATATGCACCAGCCTTTCTACCCCACTCCTAAACTGAACCCATGTTTGGAAAAAATCTAGAGCAGAGCCCATATTTTCCACTAAGAATAGAATAATCCTTAAAATACATTTTGGTACCAGCGTATTTTATTCTCAGTCTGTTTTATGCTTTTTGCTTTTCCCCTTATGCCTCTTTTTATGACATCCTATGATACTTTATTGCTTTTTCCCAGTGCCCTTTCTCTGGTTTACAGTTTGTTCTGAGCAGGTGGTAAAGGCAGTGATGTCTGAGAATGTCAAACTCTGCAAGTCCGATACCAGCCAAGTGTTTGCAGCCTCCTGCCCTGCTGATCACCAGAGACTGCAGCAGAGCAGGCAGCGGGGTGTGCTGGGCACTGCCATCCCTGTGCCCCAGAAATGCAGCATTTGAGTGCTCCCTGTGATTCTGAGTCACTGTCACTCCGCGTTCCCAGGGTTCAGTGATGCTGCAGGAGCTGCCAGCTCGGTTGGAGACTCGGAAATATCCCCAGTTTGAAGTGAAGCACATTTTCAGGTTATTACTAATACAGCCTCTGTCTCAGCTGCTTTATCAGTAAAGGGGAAGTTGGAATAATATTTATGTAGTTTCCTTACAGGAGTTTTTTCAGGATTATTTAGTGAATGCTGGCACTGCAAGATGATATAAATACCAGAGGCTTGTTCCCTTGTACCATATGATTTTCCACCTCCTGAATACAACTGTTATTCTTCTGCCACTATTCAGCCCAATGATTTTTATTTTATTTACTTCGATTCTTTGTATTCTAGATTATGCCCCACTGGCAAGGGATCTTGGGAAAGAACTGTGATGCTTTTGTTCACTGGACAAAACCTGATTCATCCCTTTCTTTACATCACCACACAGCTCTCCAGCTTCCCAACACAGAGATTGCTCTGGCTTTCCTTTAGGTATGTTGAAAATCACAGCAGCTGTTGATGTGTTTGGAGTGAGCACTGTCCAGCATTATGAGAGGCATAAAGATATATGTAATCAAAGGAGAGATTTAATTATCAGTGATACTGCAGGAATGGCTTCCTGAAAAGAGTAAAAACAAATAGGAAATTGAGAAACCAGATGAATTCTGCTCTGAAAAGCAGCAGGAATGAGAGGAAAAATTAGGAGATGATAAGAAGCTAAGTGATGGCAAGAAATTTAGGAAGTAGGGTCACAGATAGTGAAAACCAGGAATTTTTGAGATGGGATTCTAGAGTGAGAGTAGTTAAATCTGAGATAGATGCACTGACTCTGTTGACATTGCCCAGTAATGCTCCCAGTTTCTGGGTATGGGTTTCTGCAGGAATTAAACTTTAATTAAAGTATATTTGTTCCTTTGTTTAGTGAATGGGATGAAATTGCAAGAAGGGAACACAAAGGCTTTGGGGACTGCTGCCAGCAGTATTATACACGAGGTACCAAATTAGCTTTCACAGACAATCTTAATTTTTGCATTGATTAACTTTTTGTCCAATAACCTACTCATTAAGACATTCCTTTGCTTTTGCATATGTATGTATGAATATTTTTTGAAACAGTGGTTTATAAAAAGCTTCAAATAAAACTGCCTATGTTATTGTCCACCTTATGCATGCAGCATCCTTCCACGTCAGCATATTTTTCTGCTCTTTGAGAATTCTTATGAGGGATTTTCTTTGTAAGCAGTTTGGGGTGCTGGCATGTGTCCATCTGCATGGACAAATTAAGCTTCCACATTTTCTGAACTCTGAGAAAGTCTTTTCAAAGTTTTAATGAGATGCCACCATAGCGGTGCCCTTCAGTCCTCAGTTGCTGATCGCTGAAATTCAGGAATCCAAAGGCCTTTGTTGATAATGAGAGATGAATAATCTTTGAGTTCAGAATTCTCAGCCACCCAGTGTCAGATGCAGGAGAGACTTTCAAAATTCTGGAGAAATGAAGCAGAAAGCTGAGGTGCTTTTAAAAAGCCATGCCTGACAAGACAGTAGTAATGCCACATACCTGATCTGCTCATTAGAAAACCTTTGCTTTTGTGAGGTAACACATTTCCACAATTAAATGCTGAGAGAGGACAGAATAAAATAAATGTGGGGTTAATTTCCTATTGTTTGCTTGCAAACTGAAGTGGGAACTCTACAATACTTTTCATTATATAATTACTTCTAAAATAATAATATATATTTCCACTCCAAGTCCTATAAACACCTGTTGTTTTCTACAGCTGTGAATATGCATTTGTCTCTCTCTGCTGCTTGCTGTGTTCTCTCCCAAGCAGCATTGCAGAGAGGTAGGACTTAGAGATCACCCCAACCTCAGTCAGCACCGAAACAACCCACAAAGAATAGACAAGAAGTGACTCATGATTTTTTTTTTTCCATGTATGGCATGAGTAGACAAGCAGCCCCTAGAAATGGAGCTGAAATTCTTATGCCTTATATGACAGCTGGTTTATATTCCCTGTGATAAGAAGTGGGGTACTGGCAAGTGTGGAACAGATGCAGTTGTGAGTGGGCTGAGCCAGAAGAATGGGGTGGCTGGAGACTGGTGAAGCTTTTCCCACGTTCTCTGCAGAAATCCAGGCTTTGGAGCAGTGTTTGCCCCAGGTACAAGAAAAGGATGGGGTGACAGTGGCATGACTGATAAACAGATATGTACAACAAGCTGCAATCACTGGAGATGCTGAGCAGGTCAGAGAAGCCCTGTGCAGGAGGGGCTCAGTGAACCTCCTAAGCCTGACCAGAGTGCTTATGAGTAATAACCACATGTGAGTGACCTTTGTTTGGCTGGGTCTGCAGGTTTATTCTTTCTAAATTTAATTTAGGAACCCTTGCATAAACTGATAGATTTGAAATAACATTTTGCAACACAAAGCCTGCTGGTTTTATTTAAATGGTATTAAAATCTGAAGCTTGTAAAAAATGGTGCTGAGGTGTTCCATGGTACCTGCAGAGGTTTGGGAGAATCCTGTCAGTTTTGCCATTTGATCTCCTGCCTGCTGCATTCTGGAGTGACTGGAGTTGACAAGACAGGGTGAACACCAAATGCATCATCTGAGGATGGATGTTGAAACTACCCTTGTCTCCTGGTGTTTGGAAAACCTTCAGCTACTCAGACAAAGTAATTTTGCAAAGCACAATGCAGACAGACACCCAAACCTTATTTTAATATCTCTGCTTCACAGAGTTAAAGACGCTGTGTTGAGGTATTGTTAATACCTACGTCTGTGAATGCTTCAGTTCATTAGAGATGGAAGGAAAAAAGCAATTATTAAGTTGGCCAGCCCAACCCTTGTGAACGACAGGATTTTCCAGTTCAGTGTATTCCCTCATTCCTCACCACAGCACAGTTTTTTTTTTTTTTCTCATGTTCCAGACAATGTGGCTTTGTATTTTTTTTTTTTTTTAATACTAAGGTAAAAAGCATTACTCCTTTTGTGTCATAATTTTTTCCGTAACATTTAAGAATGTGTTCTAGGGCTTGGCCATGCAACCCTGACAGGATGAGTACATATTGGTGAGACTTTCCATGCAAGGTCCGTGAGCTGCAAAGTATGAAACTGTGCTGGGCTGGGCTGTGAGAGAGCAGCCCCTGGATCGGGTCTCCAGCTGAAAAATGACAGTGCAGTAGTACAGCAAATCTGGTGCTCTTCTGGTCGAACTCACAACGAAGGTGACTGGAAGCTCTGCAGTACAACACTGGAAAAAACAGAGTCAACCATAGTATTTGAAAGTAATGCAGCACTTTGTGTTCCACAAGGCCAGTAAAGAGTATTATTAAAATAGCAGCGCTGCCTTTTAAACATCTGCTCAGACACTACCTGAAATTTTGCTGACCGACTTTTCTGAGTCATCTCCCAGGCTCGCAGCTGCCCTGGCGAGTCCGCACGTCCCGAGAGGACCCAAACCCCTGCGCTCCCATCGCAATTTAAACCCCAGCCTCTGCCTTTCAGGGGTGTGGGCGAGCGAAAGGGTCCCGGCGTTATGGACAGAATCCATTCCCGGCGAGGAGCCCTCTTCAGCCCAAATTTTGGCTCTTTTGCCCCAAAACCCCGCTCCGCTCCCTCCGCCCCCGCCCCGAACCTGCCCGGGGGGGAGCGGAGGAGCCGCTCCGCGGGCGGGGCGTGCGCATGCGCGGAGAGGGGCGGCGCGCGCGCGCAGGCAGCGGGGCCATGGCCGCCCGTCCGCGGGGCCGCGGGGTGTCGGCGGCGCCCTGAGGCGGCGCGGCGCGGCCATGGTGCCTCGAGGAGCCGCTCTGCCGCCGGGCACCGAACCGCCGCCGCCGCCGCCGTCGGTGTGAGAAACGCGGAGCCACCGCCGCGCCACCGGGTAGCGGGAGCAAGAGGAGGCTCCGCCCCCCTTCCCCTCCCCGCTCCCCTCCTCCGCCGGCGCCGGGAGCCGCCGGGGTTACTGGAGTTCAGCGGGGCCGGGCAGGATGCGCGGGGCTGCCCGCGGCGTCGGCGGTGAGCGCGGGAGTTACGCCGGGCGGGGAATAAGTGTCCTGCTGGGGAGCGGGGGTCGCGGTTCGCACGGCCGGCGCCTGACCGTGCTGGCCCCGGGGATGAGCTGCGGGCTCCCGCAGCCCTGACACAGCTTGGCCGGAGGGCTGCGGTGCTGCCCGCCCTGCCTGGGGTCGGGCTGTGCCCTCGCTGGGTCGGGCTGTGCCCTGCCTGGGTCGGGCTCTGCCCGCCGGTGCCCGCAGCCGGCTGAGCATCCCCCGGCCCGGTGCCGCCACGGCTGAGACACGGAGCGGAACCGGGCACCTCTCCTGGAGACGGGCCCTGGAGCATATGGTCATGCTTATGTAAGGAGCAGCCTGCCCGTGGCGTGGAGAACAGGGCTCTTTCCATCTTCCCTACTTATGTCATGTCAGTCGGTTTTATGAGACCTTCTGTAGCCTTGTAAAATAAGGTTTGTGATGAGAATTTTCATTTTTCTTCTGTGCTCGGGAGTAGTTCTGTGTACCAAGTATACTTGTGACAGATGGAGCTCTTAGAGGGATTCTTACCTTCTGGTTGTGCTGCCTTTTTGGGGGTGTGTGTGTGGGACCTGGTGCATAAATAATATAATTGGGGGAATAAAGTGAAAAAAAGTGAATTTTTTTTTTTGTGTGTAATGCCGCAAGTATTAGCAAATGAAGGAGAATGTTAGAAGCTATGGGCAAAATATATCAAAGAAAAGTGAGATTTGTGTAATATGTTTGACTCATGAATATTAGCCATTTGTGATCTCATTCATGATACTCTTCTTTTGAAATCTGTAGGTGTTGCGGTATTCATTTCTTGCGCAGTTTTTAGTACAGGAGTTTCTGTTAACTTGTGTTTCAGGCTTGGATACTTTCACGTATATTTCAGTTAGGGTTTTTCTGTATTTGTAACATAAAATTTGGGAGGAGGAGAAGAAGGAAATAATTCTTAGTTACTTTTTGATCATTCTTTTAAGGTTAATGAAGATAGATGTAAATATGGAAAAACTACTTTGGTTAGGTGGGTGCTCTAAGCTATTGCACCCCATGACTTCAGTTTATCTGTAACCTTGGCTTTTTTTTGCTGGTTATCTTAGATAGGAGGGGGCCTGTGCATGAGAAACTATCTTTTTTTGTTTCTAGTTAGCTTTAATAACTGGTAATCAGCTCTGGTCTTTGAGTCATAGTATCACTGAAGTATTTAATTAACTCCTGAACTCATTAGCATTAGGATGTGGTTGTCTTTGTGACCACCATTACAGAGAGGGTTCATCAGAAATCTTACAGAGCAATATAAAACTGCTGCTCATCCAAAACAAGAATTTCCTTTGTTTACATCAGCCTTGAGGAGCTACTGATGGTAGACCCACTTGATTCTGACAGACATGAACTGAGCAAGTTAATTGGAAGAAATTCTGGGGAATTCCGTCCTTTGGGAGAGGATGGGCAGAGATCGGTATCTCAGTCCAGCTCGGCAGCTGGAGCCCTTGGTGCAGAGGCAGAAAGGTGCATCATGCTCCTGAGCTCTGAGCGATGGGTGTGTCCTGGAAGACTCTGTGAGCCTGCTTGCTGTTTGGTGTTGCGCTCACACAAACCTTCTCCGAGCTGTTTGCTAAACTTGGGTCGGTTTCCTTTCTTCAAACAGTGCAGATGGCTCCTCTTCCCTTCCTCTGGAACCCATGTGGTGATTTACTCTTCCAAATCCATTTTTAGCTCCAAATACACCTGGCAGTGTTTGACGTGGTTAGAGTGGACAGTTCACCATCGTTTTGCTCTTTAAGTGTGTGTTCAAGTCCAGTCCTTCATTGGGATTCAGGCATCTGTACCTGTTTCCCTGCCCTTCCAGCATCTCTCATTTCAGAGAGGCCCTGCTGCTCTGTAATTAGTAGCATACTTGGGAGGAACACTCAGAAGTGGGTACTTCATCTTGAGGAGCTTTTCTGGAAGAATTCTTTGGTTGCGTATCTTGAGTTTGAGCATGTTTTAAAGGGAACTTTTCTGGGTATTTCCAGTGTGCGTTTGACATATCTGTCAGGCGAGTCTGGTGCTGCAGGAAGCTGAGCTGCCTATTTCACAGGCCTTGAAGCTTTATTTACATGATTCCAAAAACAGATAAGGCAGCAGCAGCAATGGAAACTTTATC